GGGGCCCGGCCCGCCCGGCCGCCGTCGCTCCTAAGTGGGAAGGGGGATTCGAAACTACCGCTCTTAGGCAGTACACCCCACATCCATTCCCGGGAGTGAGGACGTCAGGAGAGATGTTTGCACCGCCGGGCCGTGGAGGAAATTACATCCACCCCGCGCGACTTAGGCCATTTCAACCCCATCCCGCCTGTGCTCGCTTTGGGGCGGGATTTATAGCATGCAAAATTCTAACGAACTAATTGGTGGCTTAAAACAAAAAACAAAAAACAAAAAAACTACATTCTGTATCTTCCGTGACCCCAAAATTGCTAGGATTCCTATCACTGCCTTCACTCCTGGACATCATGGATGAAGCCCTGCTTAAACTGTAGGTAGCAACCCCATATATAGCAGAAAATTTGACAGTATTTTAAAGGGGGCGGGGCTCTGACTGACATAGCCAAAGTCCATTCAAATCTAAGGTGTTTGTGACAGCGCTCACCGATGCTTCCTCTCGACTTCACTGCAGCAAGGTTCAGAACACTGTTTGCATTCCCCAGCTGATACTGCCTGAAACTTCTCAACTCGCGATCGAGACTATTGTGCGTTATGAATTGCAGCGGGGTTTGTAGGTGTGTTATGGATTGCAGTGGTCTTTTCTTTTATCTGTATATGCAACTTTTCTAAACTTGGAAAAACATACCCTTTAATTGCAGGAAGCAAAAACTTTTAATATTCTCCTAATTTCTCAGCTTGTCATACCCTTAGTATGAAATGGGTGTATCTTTGGATTTTTGTGTGAAGGTGCTTGATTCTAAAAATGGCTGTTTGAGTTATTGGCTTCAGTTTCACTTAAAAAAAATCATTAAATGAATGTTGATGTGAGATTATTAAGCTGTTTCTGATATAGCCCTAAACATGGTCCCAGCATTTTGTAAGGGTATTTATGCAAAGTGTCATTCTCAGCACTGATAATTTTCAAATAGAAATATTGGTAGACTGAAAAAAATTTAAAACATTGAAGCAGCCTACATCCTGTGGTATCAAATATTTAGCCAAGATTTAATTCTTTATTTTAAAATAAGCAAGTATGTGCATTGTATTGGCATGCAAATTTGTTTTTGTCTTTAATAGTAAAATTATGTATACCAATTTTTAAAAAAATATCTGTTTTATGTATATGGATATTTTGTCTGCATGTACATCTATCTGCACACCAGAAAAAGGCATCAGATCCCATGAGACTACAGTTCTAGACAGTTCTGAGCTGCTATGTGGGTGCTGGGAATTAACTCAGAACCTCTGGAAGAGCAGCCAATGCTCTTAACTGCTGAACCACCTCTCCAGCCCTCCCTAAATTGTTTTGAAAGAAAGCCCTACCCTAGATTCTAAATGTAAGTAGCTTCTGAAGAGCTCTTCCAGATGCCTCATGACACACTCTAAAGCAAAAGTACCTTGTCAAGCCAACAAGAGAGCAAAACCCCAAAGCATAACTGTTATCCATTGGCCTGTAGACTATCCTTCACTTCCTCTAGTCATTAAACCACTAAACCCTCTATAGTGTGTTCTCTCACTTTATTATTCTTGCTCTAACTCTTATTCTTGTTTTAATACAGGTCATGTGGCTTGGTTTGAGGCCAAACTCTCTCACTCTTTACAACGGTCTGCTTGCCCATTCAGAATCACCTGGGCCTTGGTTAAAACTTGAACTGACTCCCACTCTAGATTTAATTAGACAGATCTGTATAATTAAAGCCCAGAGTGTATGGCTTACTAGGTTCTCTGGTTGAGTACCTATCCTGCCTACCATTTTCCTTTTGTGTCTCCATTTGGGAAATCTCTTCTTTCTCAACTTGATAGGATTGCAGGAATTTTAAATTGTAATGAGACATTTAAATCCATAGGCTTTTAGTAATCCTTTTCTCCAAAATACATTTTTTTTTACTTTCATACATTGTATGTGACATATCCTATTATTAGTGAAAAATCAAATTTGTTCTTTTCTTTCTTTTTTTCTTTCTTCCTTTTTGTTGTTGTTGCTGAGGTAGGATCTTGTACCCAGGCTAGACTTGCTAAATTTGTTCTCTAAAAGGAATGGGGAGTCCCTAAAAGTTGTTTAAGATACAGCCTATAAAAAGGATGTGGCCTGCTTTTTCCCTCTTTTAAGCAATTTTGGTGGAAGAGAGAGATGTGTGTGTATGGTACTCCTTTTTGACATTAAATAAGCCATATGAAAACAGCATTTACTTCATGGGAGAAAAACCCATAACAGGGGAGTTGACTCAAAGAAAGACTGAGAAGTTGCCTTGACATTACAGCTTTTACTTAACAACTCCTTTAACAGATATTGCTAATGCCAATTGTATTCGGAGACTGTTTGGTAGTTATTTTACCAGGCAAAGAAGTGTTTTCTGTCTACTTTGTAATTTTTCCATGTTCCTGTTCTAATGCTCCAAGTTTTACTAATTAGAGATTGATTAATTCAGTACAAATCACTTTTAATGTGTGCAGACACCCAGGAATAGTGGAAGATTCATTCTCCTTGCTGTAAAGTCTTATAAGTTGAGTCCAAGTTCTCTGTTTCCTAATACCTTAGTTGAGATAATTGATTTAGAAAGGGAAATTTTGTTGGGGAGGCGGTTAGAGGAAGAAGCTTGAAACTGTGATGAACATCTGAGGCAATTTAGCAGACGATTGATGGAGCTTAGAACAGCAGAAGAACCCTGAGACAAGGTACCAGGATGTAATGCTAAATAAGAGGTAAAGCCCAGGAGGGCTGGCAGCCACAGCTTCAACCTCAGGTGGATCTCAGTGAATTTCAGTTCCAGAATAGCCAATGCTGCACAGTGAGAACCCTGTCTTAGGGAAAAAGGTGTGTTGGAGGGTAGTTACCCAGATGTATTTAGGATGGTTTGACTCTTAGTTTACTCTATCATAGCTTGATCCCAATTTTCTTCGCATTAGACTCCATTTGCACGGGTTGGCTTCTTGGGGCTCCAAACTAAAAAGATTTGACTTAGTCAGTGTTCCATTGCTTTGAAGAGACACCATGACCACAGCAACTCTTGTAAAGGAAAACATTTAATTGGGGATGGCCTACAGTTCAGAGTTGTAGCCCATTATCATCATGGCAGGGAGCATGGAAGCATGCAAACATACATGGTGCTATAGAGGTAGCTGAGAGTTCTGTATCTGGATCCACAGGCAGCATGAAGAGAGTGACACTGCGCCTGGCATGGGCTTTTGAAACCTCAAACTAACTCTAGTGACACACTTTCTACAACAAGGTCACACCTACCCCAACAAGCCCTCCTAATCCTTTGGACTACTGCCACTCCCATTCAAGTATATGAGCCTGTCATCACAGACTTCTTCACTGTTCTGTAGAGAGGTAGAGTCCAAGTTTTAAACAGTTGTTTTTCCTCTAATATTCAGTGAACGCTTGTTCCGGGCACTGGGGATTGGTTGAAAACAGAAGCTCTTCCGCTGTTAAAACAATACCAGTTTTAGATAGGAAGATAGTCATGAGTAAGTTTCTTCCAGCATTAAATGGTGTAATTTCAGAGAGTATGAGTGCTGTGAAAACTGTTAAAGCAGATTACAGGGAGACCATAAGTGCCATAGCTGGGTGACTTAGGCAGAGCCGCCTGGAAGGCCTCACTGATTTAGTGGATGATGTTTAATAGAGGCTAGGAAGGAAAGGAGGGTCTGGAAGAGCTGGGATATAATATTCTGGACAGATGGAAGAGTGAGTGCACACCAAGAAGCAAGAGCAAGCATGACACAGTCAAACCATGCATGAGGTCAGGATGCTGGGAGCAAACCAGCGAGCAGGCTGGAGGAAGATGAGGCCAGTGATGGGCAGGATAGGACGCCAAGTACAGGAGAAACACTGGACAATTTCAAGCTCGTGGATGTGGTCTAAGCTTTTAGTAGCTCTTCCAGAAAAGTCTAGAGGACTCTGGTCTAGAAGATAAATGTGGGAACAGAAAGACTAGATGGAAGGCTGTTGCCATGGCAATCAGTGATGCTGGCAGCAAGGACAAGTTTGTAGCAATAGAAATAATGAGAGGAAGGATTGTTTTTAATGTGAGAGGTTGCTCTTCAATTGAATATGAAGTTTGGGAATGAATTAAGGAGAGAGTTGGCTTTGGCCTGGCATCTAGGGACATGGAACACTTCTCAAGAACTGACAGAACTGAGAGGGGAGTATGTAAGGAGGAGCTTTTCCAGAGTTCTGTTTTAAAGGTGGTCATTTTTAGATGCCTTTTAGATATCTAAGTGAAGACTGAGTGGAGGAGGCAGACACAGTAACTTAGCACTTGGGAAAGAGGCTCCACAGGTGGATACAAATCGGTCAAAGTATGAGAGTAACAAAAGCCATGTGGCCAAATACACCTGAGAGGATGCATGTGAAAATAGAGGAAGACAGACTTTGACTAAGAGGTCAGCAAGTGGAAATTAAACTAGTAAGAGACATGGAGGCATGGCCAGACAGGCAGGAGGAAAGCCAGGGTAGTGTGTTGCCTGGACTTAAGGGAGAGGTTGTGTGGATGTGCTGCTCAGATGTATTGGAAAACAAAAGCTAGGGCATCAACTATTGGCTCTAGGACTGTGGAATTTGATGGTGACTTAACATGTCAATTGCAGGAAACAGTAGAGACACTAAAACTAGAGTGTATTAAATAGAGAAAAGGTA